GAACCCACGTGAGACACGAACTCGACCGCCTCTCGGGTGGCAACGGTGACCGGAGCAACAACACATTGCACAGGCGGCGCTCTAGCGGCATCAACGACGACATCGGCATCCCTTGCTCGGAAAACGAACCCAACACCCACCTGTGGTGGGCGGCGATGGCAGCAGCAACTCATGAAGGCGACAACAGTGATGTAACCAGGAAAGAAACGGAGAAAAGAGAAGGTGGTGCGAGACCCACAACCAAACTATGGCTGTCACACGCAGTCGGAGCCCCAACGGTGGCAGGTAGACGTCGGAAAACGATGGCTTCATCTTCTCGTCGGAAGTTACCGCAGCGGCAGTAGTGAGGCGGGAAGGCATCAACCTAGAACAACGGCGTCTGGCTGTCTTGCTCGATCGGAAACACGAGTTAGATGAGTGGCGATAGCAGGCCGGCGGCTAGGAGGTATAAGGTGGCGACATCGGTGGAGAGGATGTAAGGGGGTGAAGTTGGCGGCTGTCATAGTTCTCTAGGGTTAGGGTTAGGCAACGATTATATACTCCCAAACCCCATAAGCATTATTTCCATAATGACCGAATTAGCCCCTCCTTCCACCTTTTCTTTCAAAACGAATCCATAACTTACCGTTTAAACCCTCATCATTAAAATTCATTACAAATCAAGTACAATACTTACCAAACAACCCTCCGTTCTTGAATTTCTTTGCAAAGCCGGTCCAGAAGTTACCCTTTAAGCCCCCAATATCTCAATTATGACATAATCAGCCCTTCCACCTCATTACCTTTTAAATTAAATTCAAATAATTATCACGGAGCCCATGCCTTCATAAATAATTATAAACTGAGTCCGAAAATTACAGTTTTAACTCTCAACTTCTAAATTATGCCAATTAACTCCTCGAAACCAACACCTTGCGTATATAATTGTTCATTTTAGGGCTACCATTCGTTCACTAATTTATTTATTTAACTAATAAATAAACGGGTGTTACAAGGGTCGTTAGCCGAACGGGTATGATAGGGAAACTAATTTCTCATTAATAAGTATAATGATATATAAAGTAACTAAATGTTTTTATAAATTCTCAATCTTAGTTACTTTAGGAAAAATGTGAAAAATGTTCCAACCCAACATACAATCATGATCCTAGTCTTGGGGCCCATCCTTGGGGTGTATTTCAACCCAAACATGCAATAATGGGCCCAACCCTAGGGTATATCTCAACCCAAACATAAAGTAATGGGCCCAACCCTGGGGTGTATTTCAACCCAATCATACATGCAAGAGTCACAAAGACAACTAACATTCTACATAACACAATCCAGTGTGTTGGTGCCTTCGACCCACAAGTACAGTGAGAAGACTCACCTCAATCTGAAGTCAGGTAACGAATCACACACACCCGAGTCGCCTAGACTGGAACTCCCCACCTTATACAACACATCATAAAACCCTAATTAGAGTTAGGTAACAGCCCTAAACAAAAGTCTTGGTTTTTGATTGACCTACTTGGATAAAAGACCATTTTACCCTTCTATGGCTAAGACCCACCCCTCTTGACCTAACATACACCTTGACCAAAAGTTGGTCTTTTGGAGCTACGCCATGCGTACTCTTGCTCTATACACCGTGTAGAGCCTTTCAATGGAAAAAACAAGGCAAAGCTAGGCTACACTGCGTAGCCAGGGATTACGCCCTCATAATCATTCTGTTTGCCAACTTTCATATTGAGACCTTAATACCATAAGACCAAACGTCCAACTCTCAGATTTGAACCTAAAGGACGTCTTAAATGATAAAGTCACAAACTTTTATGCCTTTGCACGACTTAAAAGGGAACAAAACCAAACCCTGGGTCCAAAAACCACTCAAGAGCTCAGGAGTTCATGCATGGATGGATGGGAGTGACAAAGCTCCCATTTTTATGAATTCTCAAACTCAAAACTAGCAGAACATGGTGCTCATAGGGCCTGAAGTAGTTCATACTCCATAAAGCCAAGGTCTTGGGACCAAAAGTATAACAAATCATGAGCTAACTTAAGATCTATAAAAAAAGAACCTAAAGGTTCAAGCTTTATACCTTTTGGGGCTGAATAATACAAGGTAGACTCTGGATCTACAAGCTTGAGCTTCACCAAGCTTCACAGATGGGCTCCTCCTTCTTCAAAATAAACCACAAACACACAAGAGGCTCAAATCTTAGTTAAAGGAAACTAGGGTTTCGAGATGGCTGGTTGGGAAAGTGGAGGCTGATGATAAGAAGGGCCTCAAGGGGTTAGAGTCCTTAAATAGGGCTCAAAACCCCGAAATTAGGGTTTCCTCATTACGCGTCTATGCAGGGCGTACCTTGCCTTACGCCCCATGTAGGGCACTAAACTCCCGCTTTGACTTTGTTGACCTACGCCATGCGTAGGTGATTACCTACACCCTGTGTAGGACCTATTTTCCAAAAATAAAATGAAATTAAAGTTTTAGGAGATGTACCTGCAGAATGGGTGTTACACCAAACTTTTATATGGTTCTTTGAGAGTGATGGCACCACCAACATTAAGCAGCTTGTTCGGCCACTAGAGCCACCATAAGTGAGCCACCGCCCTCCCTCTTATTCTTGGCCACCAAACCCTTCAAAAGTGTATACAATTAAGTGTGTTTTATTAATATATGGATCTCAGAGAGAGAGAGAGAGATTTAAGGGTTCGATTTTGGGAAAATGAAAATTGGTGGCGGTGGTTGAGGTGCGGTTTCCAAAGACGAAATCATAAAAGACGCTATGACAGGATGGGTTTTTTAGAATGATCTTCAATAGTGTATAAAACAACAAAAAAGAAACAAGAAAAGTAAATTGGTCTTTTTACATGTATTTAATGGTCTTGTTAACGATATTAGCCGTAAGACCAACTACGCAAGAAATTGAAAATAGAAGGACTATCCGTGTTAGAAAGTTCCAATAAAAAACTTGTGATGGTATATTATGCCAATTACATGGACCATTTGTGTAATTTTGTCTTGTCTTTATGATTGGATCCTTTTAGCTCTTGTGTTTTACATTAAAAATGATCACATTTGTCTTCCTCAATGCTAATATCTTATGTATCATCTATCAGACATGTAATTTAATATTTTTTATAATTTAAGGAAAATCAGGTAAGATCATGTAATTTACTATTTATTAATAATTTAAGGAAAATCAGGTAAGGAACAATTTTTCATACGTCAGTATTTAAATTCCAAATTAGACAAAGGTACTAACCAAACAAAAAAAAAATATAGGAAGAACATTAAATTGAAAATCATTCGTTCTGTGATCATATGATAAAATTAATAAAATTGAATTTATTAAGATTTCAACATCCCTTTAAAGTATTTGGTATAATAAAATTATTTAAGAAATAACATAGTTGATAAGATCATGAAACTAGTCGGCTCCCATGGCCATAAAAGTTCACTCACAGTGATTTCAGGATTAGGCGGTGTGCTCGAAAACATTTGTTAGAAAAGTTAACTTTCAAGAAAAAAAAAATCAACCATTTATGATTTATCACTTCTTATGAAACAAAATTCCTTTTTATTCGTTAATTCACAATACTTTTACCTTTTAATATTAACTTAATAATAATATATTTATGTTATTACAATATTACTTCAAAACTAGAAAGGTTACCCTCGCTACGCGGGGGCCAGAAGCTTTCAATGTTGTTTCCGAATTGATAAATATGACAGACATAGAAAGTGCAAGGATGAAAAGTCCGGGCTTTGCTTCGGACAAAAAATATAAAAGTTTTGACTGCAAGGACCAGAAGTGTGAAAATGGCTAAAGAATTAAAGGGGTAGGAATTATCAACTTTTTAGAAAAGGGATCAAAGTTGTCAAACCGTTAAAGTTTTGTGGCCAAACTTTAAATATTAAAAGGTTCCAAAAAAGTGTAAAAATATTGATTGCAAGGACCAAAAGTGTCAAAATGAGTAAAGAATAATGACCAAAGTTGCCAAAATACATCCAAATTTAGTATTCATAACTTCCAACAATAATACAGGGACCAATTCTGCCAAAAAAATAGGAAGTTGAATGGAACACAAACAAAAGGACATGAATAAATTAATTAAAGAAGTACAGGGACGGATATGTAAATCAAGAGACCAAACTTGGACAAAGTATCCCAAGTTTACAATTTATTTCTTCCACAACTTTAATATATATATATATATATATATATATATATATATATATATAATATCAGCACAAAAATATATACAAATCAATACACTTATGATCAAATTCGTTTACATATAAATAGGATAATAAAAAGGCGTTATTTAAAATTTCAAAGCTCAATTGGAGGCAGGCGGGCAGCGGGTGGCAGTGGCACTACTGCTAAAATTAAAATTTTCCATCACCAACGATAATCTTAAAAAGCAAATTCATGAATCGGCATCCTCTTCTTTGTTCTTCATCATCGTCGGACGTTTTATACGTTTCTTCAATAACGTAAGTGTCTAACTCTGATTTTTTCCTTTTTTTGTGATTCTTTGTTTACAATTAGCGTTTTGAGTTCTTTTATCAAGGGTTTTAGGGTTTTATTGCAGATCAGATACTTGAGTTTTAACCTCAGTAGGCGTCATACGACGAAATTTACAATGTAAGTGTAACTCTGCTACTTTTTTGTGGTTTTATACTTCGGATTTGTGTTTTTTGTTCTTTTACTCATCTTTGTCATCATAGGAAGTGTCCACCTTTCTTCCTAGGGTTTTCTATCTGTATAGTTAAAATTCACCATCCAAACATAAGGCATTGTATTTATTGGTTCATATGATAAATGTTTTTTGTGTTTATCTTAGAATATGAGTTGAAATATTGATCTTAAAGATGAACAGGAGGCCTAGAGGGCCATTAGTAGTTGGGTTTTTTTTTTCTTGGTGGAACATCATATAACTTTAGTAATTTTGAAAGTCGTCATTCTGAATCTTAAATGTTTGTTGGTGTTCTTGTGACAGTGTGAGCAATGATCAGTGCAGCTGTCGATACCTTCTATCTGACAGATGAACAACTCCATACCAGTCCTTCTAGAAAAGATGGAATAAATGAAGCCACAGAAACAACACTTAGAATCTATGGGTGTGATCTTATTCAAGAGAGTGGCATTTTGCTTAGGCTGTATCCTTTTGACAATTGATATTGTGTTTCTTCGTATAGTAAGTAAATACATTGTCAATGGGGGATGTTGTCATCATTCTAACTTCTAAAAATTTAGCTGTAGACTCTTTATTTCTATGTTTGCTGAATAATTGGACGAATGATAAACATTCTTAACTATATTTCATGTATAATATACAGACCACAACATGTGATGGCAACAGGTCAGGTTTTGTTTCATCGATTCTATTGCAAGACATCATTCGTTCGTTTCAATGTGAAGGTATGCTTGTTAACACTTTTGATGATGTGATTTCAAATTTTGAAAGAGTTTGTAACTTTGTATGTATTGAAACTTTAGCTTAAAATGAGGAAAATTTGTTTGTTTTCTTGTGAGTAACATGTTCCTTATACCAGAGAATTGCTGCTGCTTGTATTTGGCTAGCATCACGACAAGGTGAAAATCCAAGGAGAGCAAGAGACATGATCAATGTATTCCAGAGAATGGAATGTAGGAGGGAGAATCTTACTCTAGATCATTTGGATGCCTCTTTAATGGTAGTTTAGTCTTTTTGCTTTAGTTGAAGGAGGCTGGAGTTTTAATGTTTTATCTTTGATGCTTATATGTTGTGCAGAAAAAGCTACCAGAATTGAAGATGGATTTGATCAGATGCGAAGGACATATCCTAAAGGGGTTGGCTTTCTCATGCCATGTTGAAATTCCTCATAAACTCATGGTAAGTTACATTTTAGTTTTGGGGACAAATCCAAAGTTGATGCAAGAAGCATGGAATCTTGCCAATGATAGGTATGCGATTCAGTATTCCCTATATTGTTGTTATCATCAATTCTTCACATTCTTGTTTGATGAAATGAAGTGACTCTTGTTTTTTCTTTCTTGTGAACAAACAGCTTGCGATCAACTTTATGTGTGAGGTTGAAGGCCAAGGTTGTGGCATGTGGTGTTGTATATGCTGCTGCCCGAAGAGTACATGTTCCCCTGCCCGAAAATCCTCCATGGTGGGAAGCATTTGAGGTTGAGAAAAATGGTATAGATGAAGTGTGTAGAGTTGTAGCCCACTTATATAGTCTACCCAAGGCAAAATATTTACATGTATGCAAAGAAGATGGGTCCTTTACTACAGTTTCTCTTGTCACAACTGTTGTTCATGATTCAAAAGCCAAAGAAACTCTGTTTTAGTTTGACTTTAGTAGATGTTTGTAGGAGGCCTTAGTGAACATAGATCAAACCTATTAGTTGGTTGTTGACTGCCTAGTTGTACCTATTGTTACTTTTTTGGGGTCAATATCAGCAATTTGGTTCATACAAAGAAATCTAATCTAAATTATAGAGCTACAAAACAATCAAACCCAAACAAACATTGTGTAGGTATGACTCCTAAGTAGTATACACTGTAACACCATATCACTGTTTTCTCAATGTACACATAGGTTACTCATAAACAATGTGAAACACATAAGGCATAAGCATTAACCATGCATGATACATATATACTAATAATTAATATGGACTTCTTTAATCCAAACCATTATAAGTTAAGCCTATGTGATAGTGATACATATACATTACTGTACTAAGGCCATCTATACCAATGCAATACGCCTGTCTTTTCAAATATAACATATCAACTTTTGTAGTTACCTCTACAAAGGTGGTCCCCACTGCCACATCAATAACTATATTATACTACTTTTTAGATAATATTATTCATAATTAATAATTATTTAATAATAAATTAATATAGATATAACTATTTATACTTTACTTACCAAAATAACTATTAAATATTTACTAATTGAATAATAATATATTGGTAATAAATTGAAAATAAAAAAGAAGAATGTGGACACTCTGGTTGCGGATGAGGTGGCATTGCAAATTTGTATTTACAGTCAAAAATCGTGGGTTTACATCCAACTTGAGTTGTGCTTTGTGATCAGATGGTTGAAATCAATATTGTGCATAATATATAATTATGCATTTGTATACATGTATGATATGTAATTATGTATGTTCTGTAATTTTCGTGTAGTTGTAACTGGTCCCTTTTGGTTCCATCTTAGGATCCAATTCCATGTTATGATCATAATATTGCAAATCTAAATATCATTTTACGTTGGATCCCAATCTTGACTAATCTTGACAATTTTGAGCTGAATGTTCAAGATTTGGTAGAATTTTGAGCACCTTGATGATAAAGATGGCAAATAATAGGCCCAATGTGGTAGATGTTTGAGGTAGTTTACAGTACATAGAAAACAATGCTTTCAAGACATTGAGTTGTAAGTATTTCAATACTTTGTTTCGGTTGATTTTAATGCTATGTAAATATGTTCTAATTTTTTATTTTGTAATTAGGTCGCATGTAAAAAATGTAGGACAATTTATTGGGACAAGCCCACATGCATGGAAATTTGAACCTTTTCATTTCGATAATGACATAACACGAAAGTTGTTCATAAATTTGGTGCTTAAGAAAGTGCTACTATTTGATTTCTTTAGTGGATCAAACATGGTTAAATTTATTCAAGGAAAACAACATTCCTTGCGTTTTTAAAGAGATAATGTTACTTATGTTGCTTCTTTTGATTTGGTTCATTCCGATTTACTTAGATATAGACAAAGAAAAACTTTATAGACTGCCTTTTATATACAAGAATTTTGCACGCATGATTTAAAAACAATTTGTTAATTACATAAAATTATTTCATGCCTGCCATGGACTACAATGAATGTTATTTCCTTGAATTCCTCAGCCTACAAGGTGCCATATCTGAATACTATTGTCCACACACTTCCCAAAAACATGGTGGAGTTGAGCGAAAACATTGTTATATCCTAGACACTGTCTGTACGTTACTCATCTCCATTCAATGCCCATACATTTTTGGGGTGAGGCTGCTCTTTTAGTAGTCTACACTATCGATATACATCCCTTATCCTTCTGCATAATCAATGTTCACATGAAGCTCTATATGGAAAACCCCCTAATTGCAATATTCTTTTTTTTTTGGAAAGGGAACTTCCCTAACGAGGGTTTCCGGGCCAGCTTTCGCGCACCGACTAATCCCCCACTACAAACATAAAGCTTTGCCTCATGCCCTGGAGTCACTGCAGGCGAACCTCCATGACCACAAGGGCTGAGTGGTGCCAGGATTTGAACATGGGTCAATAGGTTATCCACCATATCTTCCACATGCCTTACCAAGTCACCACAACCCAAATGGTTTAATTGCAATATTCTTAAAGTTACAATATTCTTAAAGTTTGGGGTTGTGCTTGCTTTGTCATAGGAAGACACAAAAGTTCAAATTCTTTATAGCATGTGTTGTTTTTGATGGGTTTTGAGCATTACAACATTCCTATGTGCACATGCAACCCTAATTGTTTTGGATATACGTTTTTCTCTATTGAACATACAAATATGAACACTAAAACAATAACCCTAGATCTAGCATATACAATTCGAAATTCACACATAAAATTAGGGTTTGATCATTACCTCACTTGTTATGTAGTAATAACAAGAACCACCTTGACTCTTGAAAGCTTAGTGCCCCAAGTGTGCACCTCTAATGGAGTGACAAACACCTAATGCAAAGGATGAAGAAGGAGAGAGGTGAAAATCGGCTATACTAGGGTTTCATAAGCATAGGGCCGATTTTACCAAGTATGAGGGTCTATTTGTAGCTGTGGCTACTAGGGTTTTCAGGTGGAAACCCTAATACCTTGCTTAGGCACCAAACAACCCATGGACACTCCTTTAGAAGCCCTTGGATGAAATCTATTGGGCCTCCTAATAGGATTTCGTCCACTCCATACCAAAGGAGTCCAACAGCCCAATTTTGCAACTATCAATGATTTGCAAAACAATCCCTCTATTATTAATCAGTTCATTTAATCCCAAAATTAATATCAAATTAATTTCTGATTAATCACTAATTAATAATATGATTTCCAAAAAATATATTAATCTTGTAATATATTAATAAAATCATTATGAGTACCAATTTTTTTATTTCACATAATAAATTCTACTCTCTCTCCACTAGTCATCCTGTCAAGTTGCATGAGTGAAGGCAACCCAAAAGGACCATGCTACATATCAAATCAAGTACATACCAATTATAGTTATGGACTTAGACACCTAATCCAACAGTCTCCCACTTGGATAAGTCTAATAACTATTATTGCAAGTATGACTTCAGAATTTGACTAGCAATCGTAGCTTTCAAAAGCCGCTGTTGAACTCTGATCTTATCAACAGCACGCCCTTTAGATAAGGGATAAAATATTCCTCCGTTCTACAAGATATCGTATGGAAATGAGACATGGATTATAATCATTCTCTCTGTCCATGTGTTGTTTCCCGATTTCCGATTTATGAAGACGGACTAATTGAACAAATCAAATCAGTCCAGGCTTGGCCAAACGCTTCAAGTGTCATCACTAAATCATCGAGGGGCCCATAAATATCGCTTTTATCCCATTTAGGTTAAAGGAATGGATAAACTTCGACTCATATGCTTGTACAATTTACTCATCAAATCACACACAACAATACGTTTTATAATATTAAGTTACTGATGCGTTTACGTATCATCAATGCGCAACCGACTCGTAAACAACAACTATATGTCTCCGTTTCAAGAATATAAGATATTATTGTCTCACAATCACTCGTGATAAAATCCATGAAGTGATTCAAATGAGTGTGGGTTTAATCCAATACTCAAATCCTATTTCAGGAGTACTCATGAACACTACAGCAAACTTGTGCTATATCTAAGAACTTAGGCAATCTACAGTCAGATTCATGACAGTCTAACCTCATTACTTACTTCCATGTGGATGTTTGAATAATCATATTATTCGGGAAGTAAAACATGCGAAGTGAAACACAAGAATAACCTAATCCAATATGGTCTCAAAACGTTTGAATATAAATAAAACACTTGTTATTTAATCACCATATTAATCAGACCTTACTCATTGTATAATGTTTCGACTAATCAACTTAATACTTGAATTAGAACAACAGTTGTCCCATGCTCCAAGCATACACACCATTTTTATCTATAGTCTTCTCTTTGTGAAATAGATCAATTGAACACATTTCCAATTATGCTTATTTCACAATTTCAAATCCTTATCACAAGTGTAAGGATACCAAATTCTTACCACTTCAGGAATCTGTTAGATTTAAACCTATATGCAATGATCCTTTTGTAATGTCAAGGCACTAAAGTCACAAAGACTTTGCCAATGATATTACAAAGCATTTTACTGGAGATTTGTTACAAAACAATTCCATGGAAATGAAGTCTCACATTCAAAGATGTCACACCCCCAAACCGGAACGGCGGAAACGTTTGGGGGCGGAGGACGTCATGTACAGTATCACAACAATTGTATAATAGTAATCAAAACAAACACAACCATTACATTGATAAAATATGGTATTTACATATGTTCATAACATAGCTGGTATGACATCAAAAAGTATAGCAAAAGTATAAAAGACGCGACTCTAAAAGGATCCTTCTTCTCAAAATCCTGCGGGTGTACCTATCTACTAATTCCCTGAGACAACAAGTGATTTTGAAAGTGTATCAACATTTAAGTTGGTGAGTTCATAAGTATGTTTTAGTGATGGAAAACTTGTCTTTGAACTTTAAAAATGCTAGCGTGTTACTCAAGAAAATCCAATATTTTCTATAGTGAATATAATGTAGTCATGTGGGTTCCTTATCTTTGTATACTGTATTAGTGTACTATATGTTTGAAAACAGCGTATTGTATCTGTATTTGTATGAAAGTCTTTGTATGTATATCTGGATACCACCAGTTGTAGTGAAAATAGTGTACTGTATTAGTATTTGCATGAAAACCATGTATGAATGCCTGATTACTACCAACTGTAGTGTAAAGTAGTGTACCATAGTTTTATAAATGAAAGTAAAACCATTTAAGTAGTGTTAATCCCGTAAATAAATGTTTTAGTTATACTGTTGTGAGTTTCATATAACCATGCTAATATAACCTAGTGGCTTCTACGACGTTCTTCAGGCGTCAGTAATATGACATTTGTCACCCCCAGACATGCATGCCTAACTGTAGCTAGCAGTTTGGGTGTGGGATTGTCAATCCCGTATAGATCTATACACAAACCTCACGCT